GCCATATTCAAGTTCCAAAGTATATTTTTAAATCTTACCTTCAAGTTGTTATCAGGTTATTAAACATGCTATATTAAAGTGTTTTGTCTGAAACAGCCATATTCAAGTTCCAAAGTATATTATTAAATCTTACCTTCAAGCTCTTATCAGGTTATTAAACATGCTATATTAAAGGTTTTTGTCTGAAACAGCCATATTCAAGTTCCAAAGTATATTTTTAAATCTTACCTTCAAGTTGTTATCAGGTTATTAAACATGCTATATTAAAGTGTTTTGTCTGAAACAGCCATATTCAAGTTCCAAAGTATATTTTTAAATCTTATCTTCAAGTTATATTTTTACGTTTTCTACACCTTCTAGCGTGGAGGAATAGCTAATTTAAACTTAACAATAACAATATAGACTAATTCATCTTCTTAAACTACAAAATTCCTAAAGTATAATCGTTCGAGACTGGTAGAAATTTAACCTTCGATATTATGACATTTATCTTAAGATGACTGACATTTAAGTAAAGTTAAGGTATTTAGCTCGATATAATTAGAGGATTATGATATTCAGGTACTTGTCTTGAAGGGTTACTGACGTCTTATATTTAGTCAAATGTCCAGGTTATGTTAAAGTACTTGAAATACGTAATTACATTATCTAACGAATGTTCCACTGACGAAGACCACTATAATACTCTATCTTCACGTTTTCCATTTCCCAACAGTATAATTTATAAAAAACAAACAGCTGTTAAAGATACTCGTAGTTATTAGTAACACTCAACTATAGCTGCATTACAACATCTCGTAATTATTATAGTTTCATAAATACTGATATATCTAATGATATATTTTATTGCAAAAAATTACTTGTGATTATTTGTAGCAGTATCAGTATTGTAATTTTTTTTAAAAAATGCTTATTTATTAACTTCACACAAAACTACAGAAACATACTGTGCATTTATCAGTATAACTTAATAGAATTGCTACAGGTTGAGGACATTCTAAATACCTTGATTCGCTATGGTAATACCAATGATACCTAATCTATAACTAAGGAAAATTGTTAAAAGATTTTGTAATATGTTTAGAGAAACAACTTAAAGATGCTAACTGTGTACACAGTGTGAAATAAACTTTAAACACCGGTAGCTAGTTTTTTCTGGTATAATATTATATAACATAGGAAGTTCTCTTTTAACTGCAGTGTACGCATTTCCCCTGATACCATTTATTTTCAGCTACACATATATATATAAAGAAAAATAAATCTTCTTATTGAAGATCTGTTAGACTTTAAGACCACGTTTCTATTTTACTATAAAATAGTTTTATTCACTAAAAAATATTTGGTGATTAAATTTACGTTTTCTTATTTGATTAAGGTAGAATATTAGCAGTAAAGTAGTGTTTTTATTTATTTTCGCGCTAATATACTCGATAAATAAATTAGGCCTAGTTACAATAATATTGAAAATATGTAAAAAAAGCACACGTATTTGCCTTTGTATGATGTCTCATGAACAGCCTTGAGACAATTTCAGCCAAAATGTTTGTTCTTATTGTACTACTGCAAAATGGATAGAAAATTAATTTTTGTTGCAGCTTACATTCAACACAGAGCACATTTAACTGTAGAACAGAGCTGCTTAAAATAACACAAATGTACTTAATATAAATACTTATATCAGTGGAGCTTATCAAGTACAGTTAACTGTAGAACAGAGTTTTGTGAAGCTGCTTAAAAGAACACAAATATACTTAATATAAATACTTATAT